GGAGTCCCTTAACTTTCCTGCTCTTAGGCCCCGCGTAAGCCCTCCGGCCTTTACCTCCTCTGAGGCCCTAGGAACTTCCACGCATTCTTTAGTATACCGAGCCACGTACTGTCGCAAAGTTTCACCTTCCCTCTGCTGCATATTAATCAGCGAGAGGTATGTCTTCTCATGCTTCCTAGCGCTTGCAAATTGATTCAGAAACAAGGAGCTGAACTTCTCAAAATTATCGATGGATCATGCTGGCAGCTGGTGGAACCAATCCTGTGCTGAGCCCTTTAAAGTGGTCAAGAAGGCCCGACAGCTGACTGCGTCACTATAACGATGCAAGACGGCTATATTGTCAAACGACCTTAGGTGCCGAGCAGGGTCTGTCGAGCCATCATAGGATAAGCTCAGTTCCCTGAAATTACTTGACAGATCTCCTCCCAACACTTCCTCTGAAAACGGATGTCCACGTGACACTACCACCCTTCTCCCTTGTACCCGAGCTTGGAGTTCCTGCATCTGAGCTGCCAACCTCTCCAAAGTTAATCCCTCCTGCTGTACTACCAGGGGTCGAGATGTCGCCGACCTATCACCATCCTCATCCCCCCTTTCGCGCTGGTGCGTCTGGTGAGGGTGCAAGGATAACTGCTGATGCATGGGCTGCCTTAGCGATTCTTTAGCTCGTCGATCAACCTCTTGAGCTCGCCCTATTGCGTCCGCTATGATCCTGTCCAATTCCGCCCTTGTCATATGTATCGTTTGATCTCCTCTTGCCGTTGAGGAGTTACCTGGGGGGTTGGTTCCTCCCGCTAAGACCATCTGTTGATCGTTCGGTTGGGTGGTCTCCCCTGCCAAGACCATCCGTTGATTATTCAGCGGGGTTACCTGACCCGTGTTTCCATCAGGGACCTGGCCAACCTGACCAATTCCTCCACTCGTTGCACCACCGCCGAGCTCCTTCTCCTTGTTGGTCAAGCCACCTGATTCTCCTGGGTTCGCCAAACGCCCATGAGCTCCTGGTGGCGGTGTCGGGGTCAACACGTCTCCTTGGGGGTAGTAGGCGACGGTGACCACCCGGGTGGCGGCCCTGTTCCAAGAGCCCTCTTCGTCCACGCCTCATCCATATCCTTCGTCAAATTTTTCTTCAAGCTATCTCCTGCCATGATCCTCGTTACCCTCATTCTTCTTTGGTGAGAAAAAACAGCCTACGATACTCTGGTAGAAGACTGAGTTCCCCACAGACGGCGCCAATTTGTTATACCACAAATACCTGAACCGCTCGACCGCTCCTCTCGAACCGAATTGAACCTTCTCGATCGCCGGTACCTGCAAAACACGCCGGGGGTGGTCCCGGCGTGGACACTCCGACGCTCAAGTCAGTGGTGGTGTTTCGGAGAGAAAACGGCAGAGTAACAGGATAATATGTGTATGTGTGTTGTGTAGAATGAATGAACCTGCTCCTTTTTATAGGTGAAGCCATGAAGAGTCCTGGTTGTTCTGGAAGTCTTCCTACATCTAACCCTAGATTTGGTTAGATCTTCTTAGATCATAAGAATCCTAGTTGCTGTGAACCTCCTCGTAACTTGGTAAATACGACGCCACCCCCAGGTCTTAGTCCCCTCAAAAGGAATCCTCCTGTCGAGCTGCCTAGGCGACGAGGTGCCTAGACGACGAGGTGCCCAGGCGACGAGGTGCCCAGACGACGAGGTGCCCAGGCGACGAGGTGCCTAGACGACGAGGTGCCCAGGCGACGAGGTGCCCAGGCGACGAGGTGCTGCCCAGGCGACGAGGTGCCCAGGCGACGAGGTGCTGCCCAGGCGACGAGGTGCCTAGGTGACGAAGTACCTAGGCGTTTACCTTAGGCACCCCGCCTAGCTGATACAAAGCGCGGCCTACGACCGGCCCTTTATGAACCCCATTCTCATGGCCGTATCACATATCCATTACACACATATATTTTTTCTTTCATCTTCTTCCCAAAAGTTTACTTCTCTGTGCAAAGGATACAATTTTGAGCCTTCACATTAGTAGTTCTCAAATTTTGGGTGCGAAATGTGGAATTACAGAGAAAATAAAGAATGGAAAAATATTGTAACAATTGCAGTCGTATATAAATACCTCACAAATTTAGATTTCACCACAAAACTGACCAAAAAACACGATTTTTATTTCTTATCGGCGGACTTTTGGTTGCAACAGACTACGTCGGTGTCACTTTGTTGGATTGGGAACGAAGAGCAGGGGCGTCACGCGCGGATTAGAAACAAAGAGCAGCGGCGTTACGTGCCCTAAGTTTGCAGATTGAGAACGAAGAGAGTGAGTGACCGGGAACTTACCGGATAATTGTAGCCAATGCACTTCAAACCTGTTTTAATCGATTTGCCGTGAGTCAAAGACGGTTGACTAACGATTTGCACCCAAAATGATAGTTAGAGTATCAAAAGTTAAGAGCGGGTATAATTAATGTAACAATTTTTCCTAACCGAATTAATATTTATGTGACCAACTATCACAACCTAAACCCTGAAGCGGAGATTTTAGGACCTCCCGCCTCCGTTCTTAGCGCACGATGCTCGGAACGCGGCAAACCACCGTCCCCCGGGCAGCGCTCCGGAGGCTGAGATACTCATTCAATCACCCAGGCGGCAGCACCACCGTCGTAACCCTAGTTCCTCAGTATTCTCTCTTCAAATATCCTATTAAGTCCCCATTAGCATCCAATGCCAATTCCTGTTTCAGCACTAGAATCATCGATCGAGAATCTTTTTCTCGTTCCATTAGATTCTACTCAACTTGCTTATTCTCCAATTCTTCATCTCCTCGCGATGTTGGTTCTTCGAGCTGCAGTAATAGCAGTGTCGAGAACAATGAAGCTGATGCCGACGAGGCAACGGACGAGGCTTACGAGGCAATGAGAAATGCAGCCATGGACGACGCGTACCACGCGATTGAGTTGGCGTTGGACTCGGTGGTGAAGATTTTTTCCGTGGCGAGCAGTCCAAGTTATTTCCTTCCTTGGCAGAATAAAATTCAGCGTGAATCAATGGGCTCCGGTTAGTATTTTCTTAAAGTTTTAGTTAATTTGTTTGTTTATTATTTATTTTTGGTTACCTTCTCCATGTATTGTAGTTAAATTGATGGGAAGCTGAAATTTCACTAACTTTCTCAGGCTACAGCTCATTTTCTGTCCACCCTTTCAAACGGAATATTTGATATTGACCTCTGGTTTTAGTGGATAAAATATAAAAATCTTTTCCAGCAACTCGACAGTTATTTACAGTGATGGATCGTAGTTTAAGTCTTTCGTTTCATATAGATATGTGTTTACCAATAAATATAAATATTGATATGTGTACCAAGTTTTTAAAAACTTAGAATCTGTATCACCCTAAAAAAAAATGAGATTTCCTGTATTTATAATTTATGGTCAACATCTATAATTTATAATATATAGAAAAAAAAGATTTTTTTGGTTCCCCCGGACCTCATGTAGGTCCGTCATTGGTTATTCAGTTACAGTTAGTGTAAGAGTAGTGTGTCTATTTGTTCGACTCGAGCGTGTACATTGTCATTTTGTTATAATTTTTGTAACTTCAAAAATTTATGTAATAGACGTATAACATGCATAGTACATCAACAATATTCAATGAAGTTTGTTCTGGTTCAAAAAATTAAATTGATGGATATACGATGCTCATTAGTTGGCAATTCTGCAAAATGTCTGCAGGATTTGTTATTTCGGGTAGGAGAATCCTGACAAATGCACATGTTGTGGCTGATCATACGTTTGTTCTTGTAAGAAAGCATGGTTCTCCCATCAAATATAAAGCAGAGGTGCAGGCAGTTGGGCATGAATGTGATTTGGCTATCCTGGTTGTCGAAAATGAAGAGTTCTGGGAAGGAATGAACTTTTTGGAGCTTGGTGACATTCCTTTTATCCAAGAAGCTGTTGCTGTTGTTGGTTATCCTCAAGGTAATGCTGCTGTAAGTTTTCCCTAGGTATTGCTTTTATATACACAAACACCCTTTTGAACGAGCAACGAGGAATCATGACTTTATCCGGATATGCAAATAAATGAAACTGACTAAGAAATTTGTGAACTTATGCCTTCTTTATGTTAAGAAATATTCGAAAGCAGAAAACCCTTTTTTTAGGAGTAAAGGATCAAGAAAAAGAGATACATAATTTTATTGTTGATAATATAATAGGGACGACACGAAACAAGTAGTATGAAACTTCTCGAGTGGGATCTCTGATCTTAGAATATAAATCTCTTCATATCGATCACTCTCTCTTGTATACTAAACTATAGCTAATGTAGAATGGTAACACGAAATAAAAGGGGTAAGAAAATAATGGCATTTAAGAGATAACAAATTAGTCAAAATCCCTAAGATCAAGCACCATTTTTTTTTTTTTCCAAAACGATAGAAATTTTATAGAAAGACACAAATTACTAACTACAAATCAGCCCAAAGCTGAAGGAGGCAGCTAAAAAGCCGAATGGGTGGACAGATCCAGAGATCGCCTAGAAACTACGCTAAACCGAAAACAAACAACGCACCCACAAACTAACACAAAGAAGCTCCAAACAAGGAGAATACACGCTCCCTATACATAGACATCCATTCTTTCATCTCTATCATTACTTCTTGAAAAACAGCCTCGTCCTCAAGTCTGCTGAAGAACTCCGCGACATCAAAGTCGAACTCATTTTGTTCTCTACTGATGGCCTCATTATCATCTTCTGCCACAATTAAGGCTTGAAGGGATTTGTACGGACAAACATGCATTGGGCTATATATGGTTGCTAAGCTTACACAGAAAAAAAGACCCTTAGCGCCATGGCCGTCATTTGATAACACTGATCCTTAGCGCGCTGGAGAGGTATGTTTGCTTCAGAAATTTGAGAATACATGGTCGAAATATTTCCTTGAGTAGTGACATGGAAATTGTTGGGCTGAGGATCCTTTAGTGAAGGTGTGTGTGGGCTGGAAAATTTGAAATAATAGTAACGGGGTCTGGGAAGCCCAGCTCGAAACCCATACTCCATCTCTTTCCACTTCTGATTGGTGAAGCAAGAGATTTTTCAGGGTGAGCAAAATATTCGCGGGTGATTGAACGTGCAACTCGCATTGCAGTCCGTAAATCAATTGCATCATTTGGTTGAAACCGAACACGAATTGTTTCCTGAAGCTCATTGAGAAATAGCCCTAACTGGATATCAAGGAATAGTCCTGGAATATGTACAGCCCGTGCGTGAAACTCATTGCAATATTCATCCAAGCTACCCAATTGACAGAGGGAAGCCGACAACTCAAGTGGTGGGGCCTTCAAATTAGAGTTGTGGCCTTGTAATCATTGGCGTTTGTTGCTCATCCAATGGAAGGCAGGCCCTTCCATGCTAATGAAGGCGGTGGAAACCCGTAACTCATCCCACATACATGGAAACACTGCTCAGCCCTAGACAGCCATCCAGTCGGGTCAGTTCTATTGAATTATGGTATCTCAGTTTGTTTGGAAGTTAGGTTGACATCAGTTATGGCATGTGGTTGAAGGATGAGGACTTTGATCGGCTTGAGAGGTGTCTTCTGTGTTTGCTTGGTGGACAAAATTTTTGTAAGCAACTCCATAAGTTTGGTGATAGCCTCCTCGACATTGGTAAGTCGGCGCTTGAGCACTTCCTGACCCTTTTCCATGGCTTCAACTCGGGATTCCATATCTGTCATTAGTACGGCAGGCCAAAGCAATTGTTTGGAATAAAGGGTTAAGGAAGAGAGATACGTAAATTTTGTTGATGATAATATAATAGGGACGAAAAAAAGTATGTCACTTCCCCAAGAATATGAAACTTCTCCAGGGTAGGACCTCTGCTCTCCGGCCAGCAAGAAACTTGCTCACTAGCCTATGTTATTACAAAATAAATCTCTGCATACCTATCCTATTGATCGCTCTCTCTTTATACTATTCTATAGCTAATATAAAATTATAATAAGAAATAAATGAAGGTAAGAAACTAATGGCATTCAAGAGATAACTAATTAGTCGAAATCCCAAAGATTATGCACCAATTAAGATCCCAAAAATAGCATAAGATACTCTAAAATCGACAGCCTTCCATTCTTTCATCTCTATCACCCTCATTGAAACATCAATTCGCTCTTTGCTTATTTTATGTTTGATATGCTGTTTAATTTACTTCTAAGTGGGATTCAGTTGATTATATTCTCATGCCCATTCAATAGAATATTGCTTAACCAACGAGTATTTATGGGCAAGCTATGACAACTGTATGCACTCAGTAAATAAAAGGCCTTACTAGTTTCTTGTTCGCAGGTGGGGATAATATTTCTGTTACAAAAGGGGTTGTCTCCAGGGTTGAGCTAACACAATATGTACATAGTGCAACCCAGCTTCTGGCGATACAAATTGATGCTGCCATAAATCCAGGGAACAGTGGTGGCCCGGCAATAATGGGCGACAAAGTCGCGGGCGTGGCTTTTCAGAACCTTTCCAATTCGGAGAACATTGGTTATATAATTCCTGTCCCAGTCATAAAGCGGTTCATTGAGGGTGTTGAGGAAACTGGAGACTACGTTGGATTCTGCAACATCGGTTTGTCCTGCCAACCAACTGAAAACGCGCAACTTAGGGAACACTTTAAAATGTGTCCTGATTTGACTGGCGTACTCGTGAGTAGAATCCATCCAACATCTGATGCGTATAGGCATCTGAAGAAGGATGATATTATTCTGTCCTTTGATGGTGTGCCCATAGCAAATGACGGGTCAGGTACATTTACAATTTTTTCCAAGTTACAAGGCTAGCTCTTTTTTTTTTTTTTTTTTTTTTTTTTTTTTTTTTTTTTTTTTTGTCTATAGGCTGACTGTTCTTCAGTGAATGAGTGGAGTGTATTTGCATAAATCTTGTTGTTAGAGAAAACTCAGTTCCATGTACTTGATATCGATTTAGTGCCTTATCCCTGCTTTGATTTGCAGTTCCCTTTCGGAATAGAGAGCGCATAATATTTGATCATTTGATCTCAATGAAGAAACCCAATGATACTGCTCTGGTTAGAGTGTTGAGAGATGGCCGAGAGCTAGAATTTTCTATTACTCTTCGTCCAGTAAGTTAAATTTTTATATGAAGTACAACTAAATACTGCTCATATCTGAATGGACAATGCATCAATGTATTCAACTGATGTTCTCCATGTGCTTTAGCAGACAACTTTGTTGTGGCTGCATTAACAAATTAAAAACATTCTTGCATAACAATGATATTGGTACGAACCTGTACAAACCTGGAAATGGATCTACTGGGATAAACACTCTCTGAGTAAGCGCAAATTCTAGGGAAGAAGAATTAAGAGAGGGGATATAGAATAGAGAGAGAAAGGGGAGGACTCATTTCAATCATAATGTTCTCAAATGGCAAGCGTCCTACAGCCTTCATTATATATATAGGCTAAAAGCATAACCAACTAATTACTTAATTCTATTATCGAACCATTTATGTAAGTAGAATAATTATTCTTAGAGGTGTATCAGATATGTTCAAGCACAAGCTATGAGTTCTGGAATTGCTACTTGCGAATTAAGAGCGAAAAGTGAAATTGCTATCTCTAAATTTTTAGGTGCGACTTCCTGACAATGAGAATCATAATATTCTGAAGAAGAATTATATGCTTAATGCAACAAACTTTTTTATTCTTGTGCTGATTTGGCATAATTTTTTCTGTTGCAGTTACAGCCACTTGTTCCAGTTCATCAATTTGATAAGCTTCCGAGTTATTACATTTTTGCTGGCCTTGTCTTCATTCCGCTAACCCATCCCTATCTTCATGAGTATGGAGAAGAGTGGTATAATACGTCACCTCGTCGACTGTGTGAACGAGCATTTAGGGAAGTGGCCCAGAAAGCCGGTCAACAACTCGTTATTCTCTCTCAGGTATTAATGAAGTTTCTCCTGCAATTCTTGAGTTCAAGTTTCAGCCCTTGTTCCCCTATTACAAATCCTAAAATTCAAGCACATCAACTTTCATTATATTTTTGTAGAACACTCAAGTCTGTATTAAGTCCGTGTCCTTGTAGTTAAACAAAGGCCGAGCATTCAAGTCTGTGATTATCCCCTGCTAACACAACACAGACTGCAACGTGAAGTTAAATTTGAGGCTTTTAAAACACCATATTTCAGCCGATCAACACAGACGGCAAATGAAATTTGAGACTTTTATGGCACCATATTTTAGCTGATCGCAGCATCAAGTCTTTGTCTCGTTGTATGTTAATTAACATTCTGGATGTGATTCAGGTATTGATGGATGACATCAATACAGGATATGAACGTCTTACGGAATTGCAGGTATTTTCCAACTGCCAAAAGCATCTATGTGTTTTATAAACATTTAACTAAGCCTTGGAGATTATGTTTGCTATTATTGGTTCACCTTTATTATTAGTGGGTTTCAGAATATTCTTTTAATTGTGTTTGTTTGTTCATTAGACTCTTATTTTTATTGTTTTCTTTATAAACTTTGTGGGTATTGATTTCCTAGACAAGGTTCAAGCAGCTGCTGTTTTTTACCTTGGTGATGAAATAAATGCTCCTTTTGAGTTAAATCTAATTACAAACAGATTCAGAGGTCTCTCAAAATTGTTAATACTCCTTGACGTGTGACAGTGTGGTTTTACTTTAGGAGCTTCACTAGCATCTGTCAAAGGGCTAGCTATAAGTTGCTGCAAAGATGGAACAGATACTGTATCACCTCTTAGCCATCTTTAGCTATTTAAGTTAATTAATTATATCTAGCAGGGACACACAATATTAAACAACCTGAATCAAGTTTTACTCTCGATTTGGTGTTTTCTTACATTTATATTATGAGTTCAATTTTCAAAATCTGGAAAAACAGAAATCTTATTTATCCATATTAGCTAAAAATAGAGAGCATGATGAGACTGAGATCCCAGAACGAGGTAGCTGTTTTAGCTGTTGCAAATTGGCTAAATTAACTAAATTTATGGGGGATGCATTTGGAGTTTCTAAAATAGAATGGTTACGAACATTGCGAATATTGCATAAAATGCATACGTAAAACTTCAGGGGAGTATTTGTAATCATTTCTTGTAAGTTGTGTCCTGTAAGTAATCGTGCTGTATTGCAGGTGAAGAAGGTGAATGGTACGGAAGTCGACAACTTAAAACATTTGCGACAACTTGTGGAAGAAAATCACATTGGGAATGTGAGATTTGATTTGGATGATGGAAAGGTGATTGTTTTAGACTACGATTCGGCAAAGGTGGCCACGTCCCGGATACTAAAACGCCATAGGATACCTTCTGCTATGTCTAGTGACCTCAACGACGAACAAATTGCGCCGGATGTTGAGCTTGCTTGTTCAAATTGAGATTTTTCTAGTTGTGATTGAAGTTATTTTATTCAGATTTTGATTCTGATTATTATTTTTTATTTAAATCATTTTGAAAGGACAGGGAGAGAGATATTTGTTAGGTGAATCGTCTCCAGTGGTTGTATGTAGGACTTCTAAGCATGTTTTATTTATTGCTCCAGGAATCCTCCTTTTTTATTTATTTTTTTTCTATATATTTTTTATTCTAATTCCTTAGGCTGCTGCACTTTGGAGTTATTATTATTATTATTATTATTATTATTATTATTATTATTATTATTATTATTGATGCACTCTGCACCTCACCTTCCTGCTTCTCAAAAGAGATGCACAACATTTCTCCTTGTAGGAAATGTCTCAGTCCTTAGTCCCTTTTTGTCCAAATAGCTCGGGTATAATTAAGTCATTTGAGGATTCTAACTTGAAATATAATGATACGAACAGCAATTGCACTGGGATTACCACTCCATCTTTGAGAGACAAATGTGAATCGCCCGTGAGAAAATTCCTCCATTATAATTTATAACCACACCTCCCATGCCATACTAGATAGAGGTTAACCTTAACCTAGTCGCTCTATAGTATATTCACAAAAACCCGCTGATTCTCCCTATTTAACTAAATTGAACCCCTTTTCCTATTCCTCTTCAAAAGAATGCAAGCTTTCATACAACTAGATAATACAATTTCCTACTTTTCCAAAATCATGTTAAATGACCATGTTGGGGTGTTAGAAGCCACGTAGGGAATATACAAGATGATTTTGTAAGGAAAATTGGCTACCATTGTACTACATAATGGTAATTTCCTACAACATACCTGGAAAATTAAAGCTACCCAATACAACTGGAAAAAAAAAAAAAGAGAAGAAAATAAAATCAGACATATGTAAGAGGGAAAAACAGTCAAGAGAAGATCTTCATAATGAAAAATTTAGCAACAAGGAGATAAGCTGCCAATTCAAGAACGCAATCAATCCCCGTTTACATACATTTCTCTTGGTGAGACAAACATGATTGTGTTCATATTCTAAATACATAAATGCTTCTAATATCTTTAATATACAGATCATAAGAAGGTTTGATGCTGCTACCCACATGTTTTTTTTTCTTTTCTCTTGGATGTACAAAATTATCTCCATCGAATTCCTCTAATCATTCTTGGACCTCATCGTCCGATTCCATAGGTTTCCATTTCACATCCTCCCATTGCTCGTACATATAGAATTCTTGTTTCTCGTTAACTAGAGCTAACACGACTATCAAATCAACAATCTTTCATTTTCTTCTTTTCAAGTTTCCATGGAAAAGAGAATAGAATATATAGGAAATTCTTCTTATTCCTCTTTCTTGAATATCACGCTCGTGCATTAGCATTTTCAAACTCCTCACCATCCGAACTATCATCGTAGGTAAAACTTTGGAGTTTATCATTGTTGGTTGTGTAGTTGGGCTTTGATGATAGCATGGAAACAAGGGCCGGGGGAATGGGCTCGTCGGGTTGGGCCGTTGAGAGGAAAGTGAGAGTGGCCACAACGTCGGTGATCAATGGGCGCACGGAAGGTTCTTCTTGCAAGCACATTGAGGCTATCCCAACAGCTTGGTTCAAGGTATTTATCGAGAATTCTTTCTTCAAAAGTGGGTCAGCCATGTCAGGGAACCTCTTCGGGTCTCTGAAAATCGGTTGCGCCTGCGAAGAAAACAAGTTGTCGAAGTTTTTATCATATTAGTAGAGTCTAAAAGATCTTCAAAATCACTTGGTTTACATTTTGTTATCCATAAGCTAGCTCACAATAATTTTAAAAATGTTAGTCAAACTTTTTGCAAGTACAAAATGTGAAGTCATCATGGCTATGTCAAGTAACCAGATAAGCTAGCTTATACCTTATTTGGTTAGCTAATAAACTTCTTGTATTCAAATAAGTTTCGTCTGATAGGACGAGTTTTTTAAAAAGCTCGAGCTTATATCATAAGCTTCTTTGGGTAACTTTTCGAATAAGCTCGTTGAAATTTTTATTTCAGCAAGCAAGCTAGTTTTCCAGCTATAAGTCATAAGCTATAAGTTATAAGGTCGAAAATCACTTATAAGCTATAAGCTAGTTTATCAATTTATGAGCTAGTTTTACCAAACATAACCCATATGTACTTACCCAGTTAACCAAACTTTGCTCGTCTGTGGGCCGGGCAGGGTCGTAGGCTCGGCGGCCCGTGATGAGCTCCAACAGAACCATGCCGAAGCTGTACACGTCCGATTTGGAGGTGAGCTCTCCATGCCTCTCGTACTCCGGTGCACAATAGCCATAAGCTGACATCACCCTCGGTGTCACATTCATCTTGTTCCCACTCTGCAGAAGCTTTGCTAGCCCATATTCCGAGAGTTTTGGGTTTTTATTCTCGTCCAATAAAACGTTTGATGATTTTAGGTCTCGGTAGATGATGGGAGGATTGGCCTTCTCGTGAAGGTACTCAAGGCCTCGAGCCACCCCACAAGCTATGGCCATTCTTGTTGACCAATCTAGCGCTCGTTTATCTCCTGAAATGTCTGCATACATCGCAAGGTCCTATAAGACACACAATTTAAAGAACAATCTTGTATGTAGCTGATATACACCTCTTCACTCTAATATTTTTTAATTCACTACATGAAAAGTAATAATATTGTGACTACATGGAATTCTCAATTTTGATTCCTACATTTTATGAAAATTGTATGTGTTGACCAGGATGATTGAATTTGATGGATCAGGTCACAATTTTTAGGTTTAATTGCAAAATATAGCCAGTATTTTGTACGCGCCTACGCGGTGGCAATAATAACCACCGTCTTTACGAATCAGCAATAGTAGCCAATAACTTTTAAATTTTCGGGGGTTATTACCCAAGTCTGACCAAATTCGACGTCTATTATTGCCCGTCTATTATTGCCCGCGTATAAGATACTGGCTATATTTTGTAATTCATCTATCGAATTTAGCTAGATTAGGGTAATCACCCCAGAATTTTAAAGGTTGTTAGCTACTATTGCCAATCCGTAAAAATGGTGGCTATTATTGCCACAACAAAATATTGGCTATATTTTGCAATTGAGCCCAATTTTTGTGCATATCTTTTGTAAATAGTCCGACTCTCCCATGTACCAAGCACGATTTAATATGTCCACCAACTGATATGGTAGGAGATTAACATGTTATACACGACGTAATTAAAAATTTCATGAAATCTAGACACGTGGCTGAATGTTCACACGATGGGTATGTGAGCAATTCCAAATTTTGTAAATAGAGCAAATTTTGGTTTTTCAAAAAACATACTACCTAGAAAATCGTTTTGATTGAGATTGTTATTAAACTACTCTTTGAGTTTGCTTCAACTTTTAAAAGAACTCAAATACCTCATTAAGGTAATTATAGAACACCATCTTAGTAAAGGTTCATGCACTTATAAACATATACCACCACAGTACAAAACCAAGAAGAACTAGAAATGAGAAGTCATATATAAATAATTACCAAAGAGATGGTTTTCCAAAGACCCCAAGGGCAAGTACTCATACACAAGAAGCCTTTGATCACCATCGGCACAATATCCGATTAAATTCACCAGATTCGGATGGCGAAGAAGGCTCAGCATTAGGACTTCAACCTGAAACTCCCTGCTGCCTAGTGTTTTGCTTCTGTCAAGTTGCCTAACAGCCACAACCTTAAGAAAAAGGTAGAGAAAAAACCAGATATATTAATTCCTTTTTTAGCCCCATATAAATAAATAAAATGTTAGAAAGAAAACACACAAAGTTACTAAAATTCAAATCAAAATAAATAAACCAAAATTGTAGACTTGTAGTCTATATACCTGGCCATATGCTGGAAGTGTTGCTTTAAATACTCGTCCTATCCCGCCTTCACCCAATAAACATTCTTGACGAAAATTCTTAGTAGCTGTGGCAAGTTCACGAAAAGTGAATGACTTTGCCGTATTGCTTCCTTCTTCTACTGGGCATGGTTTGGTTTTATTGTTAGTGTAATCGGCCACTTCTCGAGTAATCCCATTATTATGTACTGAAGTCCAAAAACACGCTAACTGTCACTAATGTGTACATTTGAGACAAGAGAAAAAAGCGGATAATCATTTAAATATAAAATAACTGTAAGACTAGTAAACTACCCTTGAGAGTTTTTTACTTCATCTCACATTTTTGCCTCCAATCGTTTGTCGTGAACACATAATTTGTTGATGCATAGGTATAATTTATAATATGACAACCTCAGCTTTTCGTGTAACTATGTGTAGTACCACAAAATGTCTAAGAGGCAACTGTAAAATGTGGAATGAAAAGTAATCGAGGTTTATTTGAATGTTTCGAAAGCAAGAAAATACAATTGTAAAATTATTTCACGACATCAATTTATCCCGTCAGCTCCACAACGGCTATCCCCAACCAAAATATGTCCCTTTTTTTGTCCGTAAGGAAAGTATTAGCATGCTAAGATTTTAAAATGTTAATAGTTTTGCTAGGAAGTTGTTGCAAAATCCTTTAGAAATTAATTTCACAATTTTTCCGAGATAACTTCTTGTATGCCTGCATTCATCAATCTTTGATCCCATTCTGAGCTATATGAAGAGTTCTAGAGCAGTTCTAGTTAAATGCGTGATTGCATTCATCAACCATTGCATGAACCGAACCAATATAACATTATTTGCAAATGACACTAAATAAACAAAATCGAAAAACAAAAAATATATATATACCAGGAGCAAATGATGGATTGATGTCTCTGGCTTGAGCCACTGGAACATTGTCTTTGTTGGGGCTCGCTTTCTTTCTTGAAAAACATGGGAAGCAACTCATATTTTTGCTTCAGGTTCATCGAAACATTCACACAACCTTAATTTTCTCTTATAGGACAAACAACAAACACCTATGGCGCGATCAAGGATAACCGATTAGATCCCAAATGGTCTCATTCCTTTTCTGTCTTTGTCATAAAACCCAAGAATTTCCATAAAACCTCAAACATGAAACTCAAGAAAATGGAAAAAGAGGTGTTCTGCTTCTTGTGAATATTCAAATCCCAATATGCAACAGAACAAATATCACAAAAGAAATGAATAATAATTGTTTGGATTCATCTCCATTTTACAAGAGAATGATTTTGTTTTAGAAGTGGCCAAAGGGGCCCCTTGCAAATGGGGGGAACGGTGGGAGGTTGATGGGGTGCTATTGTTGGTGATAATTGCTTTTATTAGAAATCTTGAGGTAATAAAGGCATTTGATTTGTACAAAATAAGGAGAAAAATAAAGTCTAGAAAAAGGCTAAAGCAAAGCTGCATATGGACAAGTACTTTGAGAGGAACTTGTTTCCAGAGAAAAAGAGGGAGATTTGAATGGATGTAATTCTTGAGGTTGGCTAGTTTGTCTATTTCTTAAAGATATGTTTTGTCCTCTTGTATTTTTGTTTTGGAACACTCAAATCCCCATATATAAAATTTCACAACATGCTAAGTCTAAATAGTAGTTTAATTTGTCCATTTCTGACAAATTAAACTATGAGACGTTAAACTATTTTGGAACACTCAAATCCCCATTTATATTTAATGACAAAGATGAGCAAAAATAATAACATTAATTGTAAGTGATCATATTAAGGTATCAAACTATTTCAATATATTTAAAATATGAGTTGAAAAAAAAATTAAATTGACTATTGTTGATTAATGGTTTTGATCTACCTAAATTAAGAAATTTGGTGTGGGTAATTCATGATTAAGGAAATAAAAGTTGGATTTAAGTGGAGAATTTGTATAGAAACAGATTTTACTGAGGTCGGACTTCCGGCCATTGGGTCGGACTCTATCTTGAATGTTGTATTAAATATGAGAATATTTGTTTGTTACAGAGTATCTAACTGGCTGAAATTTCAATCCCTTCTTTAGTGGAAACCTAGGACTATTTATAGCAAGACATGCCCGGTTATTGTTCACCGTGGTCACGTCAATTTAAGGTTAGCTGATAGGCATTTAATGTGGTCATGCTAGTCAAGAGGCATAAGGATCGTAGGTCTGCAACGGCAACGTGCTAGTCCCATCGATCATCATTTGGCTGCAAGTAAGGTCACTTTAATATATCTTCCTCTGAATGCTCAGACACCGACTTCTGTAGAACGTCGAGGTCGGATAATCTATGACAGCTTGTATATTCTTCTTCAGGTTGGCCTTTTCTTCTGCGGGGCCGACCTGGGCTTTTCAAGCGGGAGGTCCGACCTCTATTTTTGTCCTCCATAGACCGATCCTCTCCCGCTCTTCTGACATGTTGAGGTAGGGACTCATCACACGTTCTCCGACACCTAGCTGGGTGGGAACCCGACCCGAGATCTTGCTTCTTCTGCGAGTTTGTTAAACCCCCTAGTTAAACTCCGAGCTCTTCCTGTTTTCCAAGTCGGATATCAACAACTATATAAATATAAACCATTGGCACAAAATAATCAACTCAAGAAGAATTTTACAAAGTTACAATCCAGTTCAGAAATAACTTATAAAAGTTTGGAACCAAATTCATGGAGTTTGAGTTAATATTTTGATATGGGATACCGTACCGATTCGAGTAGACTTGAGAAAACAAACAATCGAACTGGTTGGTCGGATAGAGCTACAGGTCGAACAGAAAACACTAAATGCGATTATTCTTATTTATCTCACTCAGATCATTCTCGCCGGAACTCATTCTCTCTCTTTCTCACACACACACACACCCACATATATATATATATATATATATATATATATATAGGTCGAACAAAAAACACTAAATGCGATTATTCTTATTTATCTCACTCAGACCATTCTCGTCGGAACTCATTCTCTCTCTTTCTCACACACACACACCCACATATATAGATATATATATATATGTAAAGTGACTAGTGATAATGAACTATGGGCATCCGATACTAAACACTCTTCACATTTGTTGAATCATTCAAATGCACACATGAAACTCACTTTATCTGTTTTAATACATTTAAATACCAATATATTTTGATAATGGGGCGGCCACCACTATATCATCAAATGTCATTCAATCCATTGAATGACAACTGTAGGCCCTATAGATTTTTCATTTGAATGAAATGCCAACATTGGTGCTAATGGAAGAGCATTCCATTTAAATGGCCATTAAATGGACCAATGTGGATGCTCTAATGAACTTGAGGACATTTATGAAATACATGAATTAAATTTTGTGGCAAGTGGGAGTAAGTGATTTTTATGAAAATTAAGGATACAGNTGAATTCTGGAGTGACATCAAATTTGCCCTTATTCATCATCTCTTCAAAATGTATTACAACATGACCAGGAAAGAAAATAGAAATTAAATCAAACTACAAAACATGAACAAATCATTCTTTTTCTACATTTTTCTTTCAACTCTATATTCTCTCTCTCGCTCTCTGCTTCCGTTAATTTGTTCCGGAAACAATTGCACGCCATCTCCCCGCAACTTTCGCAAAATAACTTGATATATCTTTTACAAAGCCTCCAAGACTAATAACTATCTCATCAGCTTTGGCATTTATATCATAATTAGATAGACTTTAGTATATATAGTTCATATGCTGTAGGGTTTGGGTGGCGGCATGTTCTTTACTATTCCACACAATGGCTGGCCATCGGGAATGTTGTATTCGTCGCGAAGCGATCTCTCCGGAGAGAGAACACTAATGTAAAGTTGCTGTCCTAAATACTGCCTCTCCAAGACAAGGGACCTCAAGTTCCACATGCCCGCATTGTCCAAGGTTGTCATTACTGCAGCCCACGATTTGGGGTACACTTGAATCGTCTGCCTGCTCACCGCATCTATCAGGTTGTAGTTGATCCTTTTCTCCGGGGTCCACGTTCCTGGCTCAATCCTGTAATATTCAAGATTGTACGTGATTTTTTTTTTTTTTTTTTTTTTTTTTTTTTTTTTTGTCCCAACGTCATTAAATAGTGAAAGGAATTGGAGATTTAGTCTTGTAACTGACACCAAATTTAAAAGTAGTCTGATGTTGCGTTGATTTTACAAAACATCTAAAAATTGACTTTTGGTGATCAATTTTTGACCGGCTGTTGAGTTGGATATGTTAGTCAACTACCACTCGTAGAAAAATAAATAAAAAATAATATCCACGCCAACAACCGGTCACAGGGACCAGCTTTCGTCGGTGGAAAGACCAGAAAATGTTTTGTAAAGGCAACGATCACCAGATTATTTTTCAATTAGCTGTCACGTGTCAGTTAGAGGACTGAATCTCGAACTTTTTGCAATAACGAAACAAGGAATGTAATTAAGATAAGCTACTTACGCGACAGGGAAGAATGAGTAGCCGGACAGGTGCCACGACTGCACGCTCTTCTCATGATTCTCGAAAACAATCTCCACAAAGTTACGGAAAGTCGCATTGATAACAATCGGGCTAAGCGTGAGCTTATCCCCAACGCTGGCCACCGCGCCCGGCTCATCCTTAATAGCATCGTACTTAAACACCTTATCGGCCACTCCAAAAAACTCTGCCAGCTTAAGCGGCGTCTCAGTGTCAACATGCGAAACCCCATTCACCCCATACCTAAGCTTCCCATCCGGCCCTGTCCCCGCAGAATTAACAAGCCGAATAGTACGCGTAATATTAATCTTCCCGTAATGGTACGAACCTTGCGGATTGGGCCTCGCGGCACTCGCCGTGAGATTCCACCGAAAAGACCGAAACTGGTTGAGCGACCAAGCCCAACCCACTGGAGCTGCAGGCAGCTCCGGTGAAGCAGGCCCTTTGCCGCCCGCATAGCGGACGATCGCTGTCGCCGTGAGGACCGTTTTCGTAAACCTCGTCGATGCCACCATGAAGTAGTCCTTAGGCAACTCGTCCGCGGTCACGAGCGCGGAGTAGCACTGCCCGAGATGCACGTCGAGCGAGTCGTACACATTCTGAACCGTGTGCGACCCCTCGATCTCGACCAGCTTCATGCTGTGTCCCTGGATTCGAACATTTATGGAGTTTTTCATCCCTACGTTGCAGAATCGGTATCTATACGTCTTCCCGGGCGTCATGGTGAAGACGGTACCGCCTTCGTTTTTACCGTTTATGACGACGCCGTCTGGTCTGGCGATGGTTCGGCCGGAATCGAGCAGTTTTCGGAGCTCGACGTGACTTTTCTTGTACCAATCGCCGATTAGGACGTTGAACTCGGCTTCGGGGGATGGGAAAGGTACGGGGATGAGGTCGCGGCTGTGGACGGAGATAGGGCCGTGGCCGCCTGCGGCGCGGTGGAGGGAAGTGGTTGGGTAGTAATAGTAGCTGCCGATTTGGTCCTTGACTTGGAATTTGAAAGTGAAGTTGGTGTTGGGGAGGATGGGGCAGTTTGTGCCGAGGGTGCCTTCCATCCAGGAGTTTTTGCGCTGCTGGATGCCGTTCCAGGTGAAGAGCAGGGGCTCGTCGAGGTGGTTGAAGACGTTGACCACGATGTTGTTGTTGGAGGTGCAGTTGATCCAGGGGCCCGGGAATTGGTCGTTGATGGTGATGACTTGTTGGGGGACGCCGAGTGGGGAGAGGGTCGCGTACTTGACGTGCCACGTGTAGAATAGGTAGGGGTCCTCGGCGTGGGCGAGGGACACTAGGGTCCAGATTGTTATGGATAAAATTGTGTTGGGGAGGAACACCATTTTTGTTTTGTTTTCTTTG